GATGGCGGCGGGCGGCGCGGCGGGGCTCGCGGCGCCGCTGCTCGCGGCGGGCGCCCTGCGCCTCGGCACCTTCGTGCTCAAGAGCGGCCTCGTCTCGCCCGTCTACGTCGATCTGCGCGTTATCGTCTCGCACCCGCCGCTGCTCACGCAGGTGCGCGCCTCCCCTGCCCGGCCACGTTTGAGATTATTATTATTATTAATAATAATCTATTTATTTATTCATTATCGGAGTTGAGCGGTGCCCCGACTGTAGCCCGGGGCTCGAACTGTGTTAAAAGTAGGAATCTGTGGCGAGCCTAACCCGAAAAATGAGGATTGAGTTTTAACTTTTTAATGCGCATATTTGTGAATTTATTACAGCTTTGGGGAAAATAACGTTTGCTCGAGCTGCTCTTTGTGATAGTAGAAGGGCAGGACACTGCTTATTTTCAGTAAATAATGTCTAGTAGTAGTTCAAAGACAAAAACAAAACCCACAAAAAAACTATAAGTTTTGCAGAAGAGTTTTAGGGGTTGCTTGTGTTTAACAGTACCCGTGAGCTCTTAAGAGTTAATAGTAGTGATTTGCTAAGGACAAAACTGCTAGATGCTTTGTTTGGAGACAGCTGCTATCAAATAATACAAAAGACTTTCTTTTTCCCATACGTTGGCATTGCTTCCGTGGGTAGTATTTGCTTAGGAACGACCTGATCGTATTTTTAAGCGCTGTTTTTCCCAGGTCGCAGATCTCCTGTTCCAGACAGCCCAAGATGCCGGTGTCAGGTTCGGCTCCGTGTGCGGGGTCCCGTACACGGCGCTGCCCTTGGCCACCATCATCTGCTCCAAGCAGCACATCCCCATGCTCATACGGCGGAAGGAAGCAAAAGACTATGGTAAAGCCTCCGAGTCATGAATTTCTCTTCTTGTGGTCACTCTTGCTTGTGAAATGGCTTCATATATTCACTGTTCTTATGTGATGTGCAGCATCTTTATTTCAGTTTAATACTCCTGCTCCAGTTGAGAAACAAAGTCCCTTTCTAATCCTTTTCCCCCAAAATGTGCTTCCTGAAGCATCCCAGCCTTTTAAAACGCTTCCAGTTGGTCGCTTGAATCCTGCTGTACTAGTTAAGGTGACTCTTGATGTTTTTTGTTAAACAAACTCCAGCAATGTCTCTTTCCTTGGCAATGTCACYGTGGTCCTGGGTCACTGGCCTCTCCCAGAAACAGTGGTACACACTCAGATACTGCAGTGTGTTGAGAGACTGGGTAAGACTATGTCTTACTGACCAGTAAGACTATATCTTGCTTTTATTGGGGTATATTCTGTAGTCAGAGGGACAGGAGGGACAGAATGAGAGGCAGTCTGGCCTCTACCAAGTGATCCTTTGCTTTTGGGGGAGGGAATGGTGGAGAAGGCTCAAGAACCTCCTGGAGCAGCTGGAGATCGCCTCGTGTGCCGAGTCCATACTGCCCTGATCAGACTGTTCCTGGGTGTTTGTCAAAACTAAATGGTGCTCCTCGGTAGTGCCATCCCATGTGCCAGGCAGGAAAAATTCTCTTTTTATGCAAGACATGTTAACTAACAGCAGTTAGCTGCCTGGCACAAGGTTTCCAGTTTCGCATGGATTCTGGAATGGGTAAAACTGCATATGCACAAACTCTCTGGTCTGTCACAGCCTAAAGGGGCTGAGCAGCTYGCTCCTTGTGGCTGCTCTCTGCCCTTCCTGGGCAGAAGGGTCCCTTTTGTTGGTGTCCCCTGGGAGGCCATTCATGGACTTGTGCCTATTGTCCCCTATTGTTTGGRGCTCTTCTGTTTCTAGCTGTTCTGACAGACATTAAGTAGAGATGAAAGCTGGTAGGAAATAAATGTCAAACTGAAGAGCAGCAATAACTTTGTAAAAGAGTTTGTAAATARTGGAACTGGAGACAATATGTGTTCTGAGCATTGGATCCATAGTAATGAAAATTGATATTCTATTGGCACGTCGTTCAAAGATTACTTTAATATGTGCAATTAATTACGTGTCAGTTTTGTTAACAGAACGTAATTTCTGGAAATAAAATGTACTTTCTCCTATGGAAGAAGTAACAGTGTTTGTGAAATTCATTGCAATCTGTGACTGAGCTGTACTTAGTACTGTGATACTTAGTATCAACTAATCACTAAAGAAATTACTTCTCCATAATAACAGGGAATGTGGGATTCTTATTACCTCAAAATCCAGTTCCATTGTTCACTACAGTATATACTTCCGTGCAGAACAAATCTCATCTTTAAGCTAGGGTGGCAATGTAGAGATTTCTTTTGTTGCTCAGTTTTTTGGAGTCTTTTAACCTTTCCTGATTTAGAGAGGTGTGTGTCTTTTATTTTAAAGGTACGAAGCGGCTGGTGGAGGGCACCATTAACCCGGGAGAAACYTGCTTGATCATTGAAGACGTGGTGACGAGCGGATCTAGCGTGCTGGAAACTGCAGAGGTCCTTCGGAAAGAAGGGCTCCAAGTCACCGATGCCATCGTGCTGTTGGACAGGGAGCAGGGTGGGAAGGCCAGGCTGGAAGAACACGGAATTCACTTGCACTCGGTGTGCACCTTGTCTGGGGTGTTGGAGGTTCTCCAGCAGCAGGGAGAAGTGGATGCCCACACGGTTGAAAAGGTGAAGAAATTCATTCAGGAGAACACATTTGAGCCAGCTGCTCCAAATGGTCCTGCCCCCRTGAAGAGACCGTGTAACGAGCTGAGCTTCCGCACCCGGGCCGAGCTCCCCGGCGTGCATCCCGTCGCCGCCAGGCTCCTCCTGCTCATGGAGAAGAAGCAGAGCAACCTGTGCCTCTCGGCCGACGTCACCGACTGCAGGGAGCTGCTGCGGGTGGCCGCCAGCCTCGGCCCCAGCATCTGCATCCTGAAGACTCACGTAGACATCCTCAGTGATTTTAGCCAGGAGGTGGTGAAGGAGCTGAGAGTGCTGGCAGACCGGCATGAATTCTTGATTTTTGAAGACAGGAAATTTGCAGACATTGGGAACACGGTGAAACATCAATATGAAGGTGATTACCACCAACCTTGAGTTACTGTAACGTTGTTACCCGGCTGTTTATCTGTGGCTCTGGAGCAGGTTGCCAGGAGATGATGGCATCTCCATCCTTGGAGCAACTGGAGGGGACGAGGCCTTGAGCACCCTGACCTAGCTTTGAAGTTGACCCTGCTGTGATTCTGTGGCCTCCAGAGGCCCTTTCCAACCTAAACCTTTTTAGGAATATGTGACTGTGCTCAGTAAGTACTTCTGAGTGGTGGTTTCCTGTGAGGAGTGCAGTGTGGCTGTTGAGGCAGTTTGCTGCTCTTTGCACGTGTGCTTACTAGAGCTCTCATTCCATATGGCATGTGCAGCTTTGGCTTTTCTGATCCACGTGGTCCTCATGTGGTCTCGAAAGGCAACACCTATAACAGCGAGTTTTGAGGTCACCATAAATGTTGCAAGGCCGAATACCCAGGTGTTTGTGAAAAATAAAACTGAAAGATTATCATTTTTGGTTGAGCAGCTGTCAGGATTGTTTGATGACTGAACTAACTTCAATAGTAAACATACCTTTTAAAATGTGCAAAATGTAATGTGCTGCTTATTTGACTTACTTATGTTTCCCATTAATGTGTTTGTGACACTCAGCCTGTCTCTTGCTGTGTCTTTTCTCAGGTGGTGTTTTCAAGATAGCGTCTTGGTCAGATATGGTTAATGCTCACGTGGTTCCAGGCTCGGGAGTTGTGAGAGGCCTGAAGGAAGTGGGGCTTCCTTTGCAGCGAGGCTGCCTCCTCATTGCTGAGATGAGTTCCCAAGGGTCCCTCGCCTCTGGTGACTACACAAAGGCTGCAGTAAGTGGGGAGTTTTACTTGAGGTTAAAATCTTAGAAATTCCCCTGTCAGAGCATTTTATATATGCTCCTAAAATTTGCGTTTTCTGGGGTCTGTTCAGCTCTACTTATTGTAATGCTTCTTTGTGTGGAGGCTCAAGAATCTCAGTGTGGTGGTTAAAAGTTACACCTGCAGCTTAATGGTGTAAATGTAGTATCTATGGAGAATACACCACAAATTCCAGTGAACARGCTAAGCTTCCTTGTTGGCCCTTGTTCTTTGGTAGCAAATTATCATTAGTGTAAATCTTGTCCATAACTTAGAAGCAAATCTAATGTTTCTATTGCTATCTGCAAGCACAGCAAAATCATGGAAATCAATTAGAGGTCGGTCAGATCTGGCTTATGTAGGTAAAGTGAGAACTTGCTAGTCCAAGTGTTTTGTTGCTGTTTTGCACAGCTTAATGTGTAAACAGTTGGAGCAGGAAGAGATTGCAGGTCAAACTTACTTTTAGGTGTGTGATTTGTAATGATTTTCTTACCATTTTTAGGTGCAGATGGCTGAAGAAAACTCYGACTTTGTTTTTGGATTCATTTCTGGATCAAGAGTTAGTAAAAGACCAGAGTTTCTTCACTTAACTCCAGGGGTGCAGATGCAAGCTGGAGGTAACTTTCTCTGAAACATTTACAGTCTGATCATGAATGGTGTAAGCCTGTAGCCTGCAGTGAAAATGTGACGTCTGAAGAAGGTAGAGTTGTTGGTTCTCCAGCAGGAGGAGTCCGTTTGCCTTWTCCCTTAATTAGCTTTTGTGTTTCTGGGTATATGGATCCCTTTCCTGGGAATTCTGAGAGGGAGCCAGCACACTAAGCAGCTTCTTTGTTAGATCTGCCTGTGCTACCATCTATATGTATCCCAGAATACAGTCCTGTTCAAAATGTGTTCAGGTTAGATGTAGAACTACTGAGGAGGAGTAGAAAAAATATTGAGAAATATCTGTTTATCTGTTGATTCTAGTGTAGATTCAGTATCAAAGGATTGAAAGTTTTGCACTAAATAAACTCACTGAACCAGTGGAGGGAGATGCCTTTCCCTGCACCATTTTATTCTTAGGAAAACAGAAGTGAAATTACAAGCTTTTACTTGAATGTTTGGGCTTGGGCCTRCTTTAAGAAGACTAGAGACTTACCAGTGTTTTTGAGGGGTTCTTCCATATTTTGTTATTTCTAAATCATAAAGGAGGAGGACTTCCTGAGTCAAATTTTATCTGTATAGGAAGTTGTGTTTTGTTTTATTTGGAGACACAGTTTCTAGTTGTTTCTGTGGATGTTTGGAGGAGATCTGAAGCAACATACCTGCTCTCTGTTCAAGCCTCTCTTTAAAAGTTTTCGGTAGATTTAACTTTGTACGAATTAGAAAAATGGTCTGTCTTTTTCAGGTGATGACCTCGGACAGAAGTACCTAACTCCAAAAGAAGTTATCAGTGAGAAGGGGTCAGACATCATTATTGTGGGACGTGGCATCTTGTCTGCCTCCGACCGCCTCCAAGAAGCAGAGAAGTACAGAAAGGTGGCATGGGAGAGTTACTTAAGCAGGCTTGGTGTTCATGTGTAAGATTGAATTAAGGTCATTTTTTTTTCCAATGAATAAGCAAAGCTCAAGCAGGAGTCAAGATGGAGCTAAAGCCATCATGAGACTTTTTTTCCCAATTAAATACATCAACACGTGGTGTTGTCAGTAGAAAACCATGTCTTTTCAGAAAAACCTCTTGCTGACTGTTACTTTTATTGGGCGTGCACACAGGCAAAATGAACTTTGCCATGACTGTTTTTTAGTGTTTGAATATATGAAACCAAAACTTGATGCCAGTTTTTAGCCTAATTGCTTTTCTCTGGTGAAAAATGTTGAAAGAAAACACTCCGATGGGTGCTTGCCTTGCTATTACTGCTCTTTGTTTCTTTTTTTTTCATCCTTGTATTCCTTCTGGGTGAGGAAACAATATTTTACTATTCTCAGTAAACTTCACCTGCAGGACTCACTGCTCAACAATGTCATTTCCAACAAGCTGAATCAGTCTGAATCCCACACCGTGAAGCTGTTGCTTAATAAACATGTTTGCTGCTGTTTTCCATCAGTTGAATATGTAAGTCTTTGTGTGCCAATGTGAAATCCTGATAACTTTCAGAACAAGGACATGATAAAATAAGTCATTCTGTGTGTTTTTGCCTGCAGGAATTACTCATGATTCTGCTTAAGGTCTGCTCTGGCAAAAGTTTTGCAGTTCTTAGTTAATGTTCACTTAACTCAGCAGAGCTTTTGACRTGTTCCTCTAATGAGAAACAAAAATGTACTTTCTGTTGCTTGACCCTGTGTGAAAAATAACTGGAATACTTCCTGGAATTATGTTACGTTCTTGGATTATGAAGAAGGGGAGCTAGAGAAATTACATATATGATGAGTTTTGATTAAAAGGGATGGGATCATCTTGGGTATATCCAGTATGTGTGTGTTGGAAAACAGCTTGAGTTTTCATTGCTGTCACAAAAAAAAAAAAAATGTGAGGAATATAAATATTTCTAGCCTATTGTTTTTTTCTGTGCTGATACAAAGTAGTACATGAAGCTGAATCCCTTTTAATATACACATAGTTATCTAACAGAAAAGAAATAGGGCTCGAGTTTGTGGGCTTTACCTTTATGTTTCCTGTATTCATGACCAGCTCCATTGGCAGTCAGACTTAKGAAACATAGGACTGAAAAATTTCCTAGCTCTCTGGGCACGTTGCAGGTAACAGCATTATAATCCTTTCATGTTTTATGTTCTTCAGAAGTATTTCCACTAAACTTGGTGGCTATGTTTTATGGGGCTCAAAAGCTGGTATGAAAGAATATTGGGATCCAAAAATATTGGGGATTTTGCACAGCATGGCTTACTTCAGGGAGCTCTTTCCATGGGAGATGAAGGCTCTTTAACCTTCTTTCCCTGCTGGAACTTGATGAGTGCCTTGGGCAGCCTGTGCAGCTAAACTGCAATGCTCTGGCTCACAATATTGCACATCAATAGTTCAGATGTTTCTCTCCTTTCAAATGATCAGAGGATTTAGAATTTGTGTATTATCTCATCTTGATTATCTGATAGCCTCGAGAYTTGCAGCAAAAACCAGACTTTATCACTTAAACTCCTGTGCAGAAAACTGCTTTTTCCAGCAGAGGGGGCTGAGACTATGCACAATAACTGCACAGCTCTTCTATGGTTAATACTTTCCGCTGATAATACCAGTGCTAAATGTGCTTAAGATGCCCGTTTGTCTGGTTTTCAGCTAATTATCTCCTTCTACTCCTAATTTAAATCTTTATAGTTTACCAGATATCTGCTTCAGATTGGGCTCCAGTCCCGCCTGTTGTAATGGGGTTACTGGAATTGCAGCACAGAGCTTTGTGAATTTAGTATTTTCCACCAACTGTGCTAAATTTCATTAAGCTTGTCACAGATTTAAACAACCGAAACCCTGATTAGAATCTTTGAGCTAATTTGTTTGGCTTTTATCTAAAAAGTTTGTATCTCAGCGAACTTTTTGGAGAGGTTGGTACAGKCTAACCCCCAGTCTCTTTAGAAAACCTTTGCCCGACTTTCTTTATGAAACAAGTTCCAAGGAACACCTTCAGAAACTTGCTTTCACAATTCTTCATTATGCACTCCAGCAAATTTTACAGAAAGTGCTGTTTTTTGGTGCTTCAGCTGGCACTCATGTCACAAACAGTAGCACAAAAGCAGATCTGTGTGCACACTTGTGTCAGAACAACTGTGATAAACAAGTGTGTGTCCTTTCTTTGAGGCACCTGAAAATGATAAAAATCCATTTCAAATTAAGGCCAAATGTTAATTTCCTTGCTCGCCTCTGCTGCTCCCATGCAGAGCCTGGTCCCGGCTGTTGGTCCTGCTTCTAACATGGGAACTAGGTCACAATTTACAAAACTCATTTGCATCACAATATGTGAAACTGGAAAAGTCCTGCAGTTCGGTCTGATGAGATTGYAGCCTGGGACAGAGGCACGGGGCTATATCCACATTTGCTGCTTGCAATGTGACCTATATTATCTGGCAACTACATATCGATATGAAATTATTATCCTTAATCCATTCTGCAATACTGTTTGTGACGCAGTGAAAGGAAATGACACTTTTCTAGTGAAATTGCAGTCAAATACTGTCCGTGCTTGTGACAAAGGGGGATTGAGCTGCTGCTATTTCTGAGCAGGTCCTAGTGGAGACTGCATGGGAGAACTGCACGAGTGGGAAGCATAAAGGGGTGGCTTTGGAGATGAGTCTGGGAAGTGCCTGTACCTGGTGGCCCAAGGAGAAGTGTTTGGATCAGCCTAATGTCATAAGCACAGGGCTTTTTCCAGGCTCAAAATTCTTGCAGAAACACTTGATCACTCGGATGCAAGTTGTAATTCAGTGACAGCTTTAAAATTTTTATCCTTAAAAATGGTTTGTGCGTCACAGCATCAACATTGTTTTCCTAGCCAGTAGTTGGTGGGTTATGTTGTTATTCCCATAGCCTATTCTATGAAAAGTTAACCAAGACCTAATTCCAAAAAATTACTGAATTACATTCCTTTGTTTGTACTTGGACAGCACATTGCTATGAGTTTTCTAGCAAGTAACACAAACATTGTGTTCAGGAAACAGATTGGACCAAAGGAATGTGAAAACACCCAGGGGAAGACGTTTCTTTCCAGTGAGGAGTTTCGGAGGTGGTTGACGCAGGACTGTTGTGTTTTGGAAGCCTCGGACATGGCCTGGAGAACAGACAGGGCTGGACACTTGGTTTGGAAGGAGCCACGGCGACAAGTGCAGCTGCGTCTTCTAACTTTGCAACAAACTGAAACTCCGTGTGGAGGCTCTTGGAGCTTCAGCTTTTCTTCTCCTGGCAGATTTTCACCATCTGGGACCAGTGACCCTACCTGTGTGCCCAGTCTGGCCCTGTCCTCGCTCTTGGTTCTCCGTTTCTGCGTGAGCTGCATCCTGCTCTGAGCTTCTCCTCCTGCTATCCAGAGTCAGGCTGTGAAAACACCGGGCTGTACGTGGAGACCAGTCAATACAGAGGCAACAGGGGAAGCTCCTGCAAGGCTTGGAATAAAGGGCTTGCTCAGGACATGTCTCCTGAGCAGTGATGGAGAGGAGAGCCTCAGACCGACTGATTGTATGGCCCATAGGGACTGCGATAGAGGAGGAGCTAGAGCAGTTCTGTTGTATTTCTATGGAAGAAACAACAGTAGCTTCACAAAAGATGTTTTCAAAAACCAGAACTGCTTGGATGGGGAAACTCTTTTCCGTTGCCTGCAGCTGATCATTTCTGCTGTGCTGAGAGGTGCCACTTCTAGAGCTGAGTTCTCGGTTCAGAGGACACCAGTGGGCCTGGGGAAAGGGACGGGATGAATCAGAGCTGCTTTGTGCCATTGCTTTGTGTTTTTTGCAGGCCGGCAGTGAGGACGAGGCAGAGGAAGAGCAGCAGGATGAGTGTTGTCGGGCCAGCGAGGCCAGGCCCGGCGGCAGCAGCCCCGGCCGCGCCGCGGGAGCCGCGGGGCTGATGTTGCAACGGCCCCCGGATTCCAGCCCGGCCAGGCAAGCGCTGACATTTTTCCGTCACATGTGACCCGCTGGTGCTTTCTGCTCCAGCTTCMGTTCAGGAATGCGGGCTGCGGTCGAGCTGCGTGCGTTTGGAGACACACAAATACTGCYGCTGACTGAAATGCCCCGTTCCCATGACTGAGCTTGGCACTTACTCCACCAATGGTGAAGGCACATTTGCTTACACAGTAAAGACACAGTGAAGCCTACTCATTCTCAGTATCACTTCCTTATTTTTTTCCTTTTCTCATAGATGAAAACTTGTGGAAAAGCTAAACTCGGTGGGGAGGGGCAGAGCTCATAAAAATCCAAAGTGATTTCTTTTGTTTCTTTTTTGAAGGTTTTTGAAGCAGCCGCTGCGRCAGAGCAGCCCTGGGCCCACATGAACTGCCCAGGGCATTGCTCCCTCCGTTCCTTTGGATGCTCCCATGGCCTTGGCCACGGCAGCAGGTCCCTCTCTGCTCACAGCAGCCATCCCCGTTTCCTCCCCCGTGCTGGAGTCACCCTGTGCCTTTCTGGCAGTCTCCGTTGTGGGCAACCTTTGCTCTTCACATCATTACCCAGCTACTGCAGCAAGATTTACGTGTGTGTTTTGTTTTTGTGCTGTTTTACACTGATTTTTTTTTCACAGTTCTTTTGGTTTAAGGCTGCTTTATCCCCTTAGAGCGGGGTGAGGGGGTTTGCACTCAGGTCTTTCAAATTACATCTTTTGATCCTTTACTTTCCTTCTCTTCCCTTTCTCTACCAAGCAACCCCTTAGCACTGAATTAAATTTTAGCCTCCTCACGCTGCTTTATTGACTTTCTCTCAACAGTAAGCTCGTGCTGGGAAATGCCACAGCTTAGAGGTAATCTGTAAAAGAAAGGGGGGAAGAAGGGCACGCTGGCTGTGCCTTTCCTTTCTGAAGGCAAAGGAAGAAAGCAAATGGATTTGTTTTGTTTTTTAAGCTATTTGCTCCCATACAGCTTCATATTTTCCTTGGAAGGGCAAAGCTATAGTCACACTATTTGCTTTTTAGTTTGGCAAAGCTGGGTTTTTTTAGATCTTTCTGCACCCTCCTTTCCCCTGTGACACAACCTGGTATGACACAGCCCTGTGTTGAACATGGCACTGCACTGAGTCAAACCCTGCAAAGGGTAATGAGTAAAGGGCAGTGAGTAAAACGCTGTTACCAAACTGCTGCTGACCGTCGTTTATGATAATTATTCCCGAATGGTTGGTATATTTTCATTCATGACAGCAATGAAATGCACCTTGCTGCAATGGCAAGATGGGGATGCAGGTTTTGCCTCGGGGACGGGTGCTCCRTGGCTCCATGAGTGCCGATTCCCAAGTCTTTGGTGTGTGGTGCAGTAGGAGCAGGTGAATGGAGCACRAGTGAGGACAGGCTTTGCTCCAGGCACTTGTTTCCAGGCTCCGTGTGCCCTCCTCCTCCCTCCCAACCTTGGTAGTCGTCCAAAGGTTCTGGAACGTCGGCCTGACTTAGGAAACCACGCCAGGACAATATTTCATTTATTTGGTCTTTTTATAGAGCAACTAATCAGTTTGGACGCTGAGCATACACTGAGGGGAAAAAGCTCACCAAAAACTTGTTCCTTGCTATTTTTAGTACAATTTCTTGTGTYCCTCAGCTCTGCTGAGGTGGGGGGAGGGGGACAGTAAACATCTCCAAGGAGAGCTGTTTATGGTGAGCAAATAAGAGCTCCTGTTTATAGAGGCAAAAACAAATAAAAAATGCGTGAGGATGGGCCCGTGGCCATTCGCCAGCAGGCAGAGCGAGTCAAAACRAGGAGCCCTGTTTGGTTTTGCTCTTTTCCTGGCGGTTTCTGTGAGTCGAGAAGCACRGGGCCGGTCCGGGGTAAAGCGGGAGCCGGGCAGAGCAGCCTGGGCAGAAAGCAAACAGTCCGGGCTGGGAGCAGGGCCGCCCCGAGCTTCAGCCCGCTCCTCACGCCTGTTTTTGTTAAACGCTGCACAGGGAGGCTCTGCTTGTCCTGCACGCAGCCGCCTCGTGCAGTAACCCCCTCGCTCAGGAGCGCTGCTCCCAAGCGCCCGGCAAACAGGGCTAACATTTTCCCAGGCTCCAGCYGCTGTTTCCCTTGGGTCTCCCTCAAAATTCCCCTTGTGCTGGAGGAACGCGGGAGCAGCAGGACGCGAGCGCCTTGAGGCGAGTGCCGCCCTTGGTCAACACGTCCGGCCTCCCGCTGCGGCTCCCGGGTTGATGGGAAGCCTCTGTGTAAATAGAGGGCAGCACCTCTTAACACTTCCAAGGGCTTGGCAAAGACACCATGGGCTGTACTCACAGCATCATATATGCACAATAGTTTTATTTTGTTTTTATATAAAAAAAATCCTAAAGAGTGCAGAACTCCTGTATCCTATTTTTTTTTTTACACAAATGCTTCCAACACCTTTCTTTTGTTTGTTTTTCTGTGTTTTTTTTTTTTTTTTCTTTTAAGCTAATTTCCCCCTAACGACTTGCAATGGCACGGGTTCCCCTGATTTTGGCCTAGTCCCCCTTTCTAACGGGATATGTCTAAAGCTGCGATATGGCACTTGGTTCACTTAGCCGGCAGGTTCCGTACGCCCAGGACGCCGGGGACCGCGGTGCTGCCCTGCTCGGAGTCCATGAGCACGGGCAGCGAGGCCGCCTTGGCGTCCGCGTGTCCCAGATCGTCCATCACACTCCTCAGCCCTTCCTCCTTACTGTGCAAACAACAGGCTTCTGTCACCGATTAGCCCTGCTTTAAGGTGTTTTTTTTTTTTTCCCCCCCCGAAGAGGATTCCATCTTCAAGTCAGGAAGCAGCAATAGTCAAGCAACTGCCCACAGCAGCCCCACGTGCTGAGGCCTGATCAGTCAACGGTACCGTTATACGACTTGCTGAGCTTGTTGAACGTGAAGTCTAAGCTGTGTGTCGAGATAGGCTTTCGGTAGAGAGGATTGGATGCCTTTGGGGAAATAAAAGCGGACAAAAAAAAGAACAAAAGTGAGAAGAAAACTGGGCCGTGACCGAAGCATGTGTAATGTCCCCAGTGCAATCAGTTTGGAGTTAATGCCGTGTTGCTTTGACTGAAACCTGCTCCTCAGATCCTGAAGCAGTGTCACAGACGCGCAGGAGCTGCAGGGCCAGGTCAGTCCTGGTCTAGCGCGTGTCTTTAGTCCTGCCTGCACGTGCAAAGCGAGGCCCTGCAGGGCTGAGCACCCCTGTTTAAACAGGGAGCCTTACAGCTTGCGTTTCCCCGATAGGCTCACCGCTTCCAACCGACCACCCCCAACAAGCACCAACGTTTTCTAAATACCTTCTTCCCACACATCTGAGCACACAACCCGCCTCGCTCAGTGCAGCAGCAGCCCCAGTGCGTCCTGCAGTGCTGCCAGCACCTTCCTTCACCCCTCCAACACAGGTGGAAAAACCAGCAATGCTGGGAGCAAGGGGCAGCCTCTGGAACAGGATAAGGTGCCCACAGCCCTTCCCTGTGGTCACCGAGCCGCCTTGCTCCCTGCAAAGCCCCGCTCACCATTTCGTATCTGGCTCGCGAGCGCTCACTCTGGAACCTGGCGAACTCGCGCCGGTCGTGGATGGTGACGAGCAGCTTCCAGACAGCCAGCAGCACGATGCCGATGAGCAGGATGCTGCCGCCCACCACCAGCAGGATGGTCAGCACGTCGGGCGCGGAGCCGCACTCTGCGGAGGAGCGGGAGAAAGAAAAACGGCGCTCGTGGGGATGCACCTCGCGGATTGGGATCCAAGCAAAGCCTTGGATGGGAGCCACGGCTCAAGGGGCCTCAGGGCAGCGCGAGCAAGAGTGACTAAATTAATAAACAAAAACACAACGGTCCCCCCCCGAAATAGAAGCAACATCTGAAAGCCAAAAGCAAGCTCCCCTGGCCAGATGGAGGGCGAAGGAAAACTCCTCAGTGAGGCCGGTAGGTCCAGGCTTTCCCACTGTGGATGAGCCCAGCCCCAAGCCCACCTGAAGCCTGTTCTAGTACAGGGCAGCTCCTCAGCCAGCACACATGGGGACGGCCTAAAATTAGCYGTGTGCCTGCAGCAAAATGTATTTCAGCTACCGGTTCCCACTGACATGGAGACATGTGACTACTGGACACCTTAAATAAGCGTATTAACCGCCAGCTAATCAGCTGCTCTTTCAGTGACATGTAAGCTGCTGCACAAATGATAAAATGTGCAAGCTCTTAAGGCTGTCCCATTCCGGCCTGTGTCTCGGAAGACCAGAGCAGCTACTGCTGGGCGCTGGCCAGCTCAGTTTGCGATGCCACAGGGGCTTTTCTTTGGGAATCTGCACTGCACGTGACTAAAATACTATGGAGCGCACAGGCTGGGAAGCGCAGCCGTGCCAGGGAACAGGAGCAGAGCAGGGAAAGGCACCCGGAGGGGTCCCAG